TGGCTTGCTTGCTGTTACTATTATAAATAATTAAGATAATTATCCAGTATATTTATGACAACTGACTGCTTTAGGTTGGCTTCTCTGAGGGCTCCTGTCATCAATGAAAATTCTGCAGATGGAGGGGTTTACAGGCTCTGGTGCCAAAGATGGATTACCTAGAAGCTTTCAGAGCTATACAGCACAACTCCATTTGCCTCTTTGTACTGTATGGACTTAATAAGAAACTGTAATTTTATAGTGTGAGTAAATGGGTGAGAGACATCAACAGCAGGAGTGAGAGAGGCATTGTCTTTTGCAATGCCAAATCCCAGAATATTAAGAGTTTGCCAAAGGCATTTCAGAGATAAGTTTCCTATCTTCATCAATAATTTAATACATTCCCAACTCTCCGAGTAGCTCAGAATAAGAGCTGAAGGCATGGATGTCAGAAGGCAGAATGACTCCCAATTAGTCAGGTAGAGCGCTTTCTTGTTGACTCAGCCAGGGCAAGGGTGTCTGTAAAACCCGGGCTTATGTCCTTATAGACTCCTTAATAGTTTTTTTTTTCCTTTTTTCTTTTTTTCTTTAAATCTATGGTAATTTGTAAGAATGAGTGGGCAGTCCAGTGGGCAATCCACTGGGGTGCTCATTAGTGCCACTGAAAAAACACATGGACGTTAGTGTAAGTTGGTGGATACAGCTGCTAAGAGGAAAAGGGTTGGAGAGTCAGGACCATGCTACAAGTGAGTGAGACCCAGAAAAAGGTATCAGCTTTTAAAAGCTATTGGGAACAGTGACGTGGCTTTGGGACGTTATCAGCCAAAGAGTGTCTGCCGTGATGCCTTCTAAATTGGTGCTGCTTTTTTTGAAAGCCTTGCCATGTATATGTGGAATTATAAGGAAGTGATGGTATTTTGTTTCTTGATTAGAACATTTTTGTTGTCGTGTAGGAAATTGCTTGTAAGGCCCTAGAAGTGGGTCTCATGAATGGGTTACCCCGAGTCAGCCAATTTGCAAGAGCTTGGGCTGCGCCTATCTGGATGTGTCATAGAACTCTTCAGAGTGATATCTATTTTTGAGCATGCTAAACATGTTTACTTACTGCACAGCTTACTGTGCATTAAACTCTTCCTCACGGCAGGCAATTTTCTAGTGCTTAGGCCACTATTTGACCCAGCTGCCATGGAGGCTATATTAAGTCCAGCTGATCAGGACTGTCTCCACACTGAAACGGGAAATTAGTCTCTATAGCTATATGACTCTGTCAGCTTTTCTAAACATTTCTAAACATTTCTCATAGCTTTTTCCTACTTTTTTTTTTGTGTGTGTGTGTGTGGGTAAGATTTTATTTTGCATTCCCTCATGTGTTATTCAGATCTTAAGCCTGACGCTAATTACGTATTACTTTTTTCCCTTTCTCCTGACACTCCTTACTGCACCTGTTTATGCGTAGTGCCTTTAACTGCACGTGATTCCATCCAAAACATGCTGGTTTCTTCCTCTGGAATTGTGTTTTGGTGCACACTTCCACATTTTAATCACAGCTTTGCAGTGCTTGTCTGGCCCAGTGGTAGTGCTCAACTGTGAAGCTTTCTTCCTTTGAAAAACCATCTATTTCTCAAAGCTGTAACTTGTGTTGTTGAGATTAGATTGTATTAGATGGTTGCTTAGAAAAAGCTGCAAATCCTGTGAAGATGGAAGAAGCTGAGTTCAGAGGAACTCTGGAAAACTGCGGTTTGAGAGGATGGAGTGGGTAGAATTGCAATGAAGTTGAGGCTTGTATTCCAACACTGACTTGCACCGTCACATCTACGGAGCATCAGGAATCTCATTTGGAGATGAACAGGTCTTCAGCTCTGCAACAAAATTTTCAGGGGACTTGACGTTCCTATTGGTGATGCAGGCTGTGATACAGTGTCTACACATGGCAAAGTCCTTCCACGCATGCCCCTAGCTCATGACAGATGAAGGGTGATTAATGAATCTTAGATTAAAACTCTAGATCCTCGATGTTCCAGCACTTGTCACTGTTTTGTTAATATGGCAGAATTTAGTCATCTACAAAATACATTTTGACATTCAGTCCCTGTGTCCCATGCCCTTAAACTCCTGTGAAACTGTGATTCCTGGCGGGACCAAATTCTCATCCGAATTGCACCAGTTTGAATCTAAAGCAACTCCACTGTGCTGTGGGGGCTTTTTGTCCCTGCTCTTCCCTGCTGGAAAGTGGCAGCTTGCCTGTGCTATGTGCCTTGGGTTTTACTGATCAGGTGGCTAGAGAGCTGGTAATGTGCCACTGGGCCACTGGCTTAATGCAGGAATTACTGGAAGCAGCAATCTTGGAGTGCTTTTTATGAGGATAACAAGGCTTTTGCAGACATGAAAAAGCAGGAGAAATGCTTATTAGTTATGGGGAAGGTGAAAGGCTTAGAAAACTGATTAGTGTAGCAGTGTGGTCGGATTGAAATGAAAGCTCAGTGGCATAATCGTTAATTGGGTGCTTACTTACCTACTAATTTGAGCTTGGATGTCAGCAGTACTGCACTTCATCTCAAACCAGGGGTCAGGCTTTAATGCTACATCATAAATTACGTAAAGGCACAACACTAACAATTAGATAATTATGGAGACCCATGCTGTTGCAATTTAACTGGGCAAGTTCAGGGCAATCATGACAGGAATAGTGCTTAACCCTGAATCTGCTGCCTTTCTTTCAACCTGACAGCCAAATATATGTGGCCAAGGAGGTACCCAGCTGTCTGGCAGCCCACAGGTTAAAAGCATCTTCTCCCGCTAGTCAGGTTCATCTGATGGCCTGGGCAAACTCTGAGGTAATATTATAAAAGTGTTAATTGTGGTTCAGAAAGAAGAGCCTGTATTTCAGTCTACAGATTGTCTACAGACATTCTGGCCAGGACACAACAGTCAGAACAGTTTTTGTGTGCAAGACACCACTGTGGGTTTTTGATCTGTTTCTAAGCCAAGTCTGTGTGTATGTTTGGTTTATTTATTTTGCTTGAGTAAACCACCAAGCCAAAATAAAGTTATCTGTAGGATCTCTTTGCGTGTGCCTGTGCTACACATGACAGACCCACAACACCTTGTATTTCAAGTGCTGGGGTCATTCAGTTGCCCACAGCCTTGCTATTGTACCTTCCAGCCAGCTGTGCTGCCTTCTGGGGCCAGCAGCAGCCCTGCACACCAGAGATGAGCCCACCACAGTACTGAGAGCTTTCAGTGTGGCTCCCATTGATGATGTCCAGGATGGCTTTAATGGAGAGAGAGTTCAGTCAGTGCTGGACACCTGAAAATTTAATCCTCAGAAGAGATAGTGAAGATCAGGATGGAAAATATGAGTCGGATGGATTGGAAAGTGATTGACAGTGGGATGAAATTAATAATGTGTGGATCTTGGGTTGTTTCAGACATAACCAACATCCTCCCAGAAGTGTGTAATGAACAGTGATTTCCATGGGGTCTTAGGAGTCTGTAGGTATTATTGGATTTGAGTCCAGGACTTTTTTTTAGTGCTGTCCTTTTGTTTCTGGTCCTTTCAACGATCAGGTAAATCACTCACACCATAATAATTTATTATTGTTGTAAACGCTGAGATTTTGTTTGTGGGTGGGGCTGAGAACGACAACAACAGAAGAATATTCCACTGGTGTTTTGGCACCATTTTCATTATTCAGAATATTTTATACAAATCAAGTAGGAAAATGGTCTCTAAAAGGAGGATGTCTATTAATAGTCATTACCTTAGAGTATGCTCTGCAGCATTGCTGAATGCTGAAGCTTTCATTCCTGGATTGAGGGTATGTGCATTAAGTTTAGCAATTTCTTGCTCTAGTTTTGGTAGCTAAAGTTCCTTCAGGTACTGTGTTTGCTATAAAAGTGCAGGGAAATGCTTTGCTTTGGCACTCTGTTTTGAAAAATAAAGTTATAACTTTTATATACATGCTGCTATATGGTATGGTCAAGGAACAACACATCTGGTTACCTATTACTACAGGTTCAGCTACGGTATACTTTTTGTTTTAATTAGTCTGCAATAAACAAAAACTCAGGGGCTGTTCTGCTCTGGTAGTTCTCATTTTTCCTGCAGCCTTTTCTGCCCTTACAGGTTTATTAGTATAGAAAAAATGGCATGTTGCACTTGCACTGTGTAGACCAAATGGGAGGCTGTAGGCTTAGTCTGAACTGAATGTCTGCAGTACAGTGCTGGGTGCTCCGATCTACACTGCATCTTATCTGGTAGCTACAGGCTACTGGGAATGGCCTAATGCTGCAACAGCCTAACAGGCATGTTGGCAGTTTTGCCCTCCTAATAAGCTTGATCTCCTGCAGCATTTGTAGGTATTTATTGCTATGTATCATAGCATGAATCCTTTTCCAGAGGTACTGGTGTCTTCCGCGCTTTTTACCGTGACATGAAGAGACCAGCAATTCCTCTTGGCAGGCCCTGCTACTGAAAAGCATTTTATGAACCAACTGTACTCTTAGGTTGGATGCAAAACTGTCCTCAAGGCAGTGCAGACCTAAGTGCCTTCTGCTGCAGGCCAGAAGGAGCTGTTAGTTCTGTCTGTGCAGGTTCTGCGCAGATGCCACGTAGGCAGCTGCTCGCAGCCTCAGGTCTGAGAAGAACACTGCCAGCCCTAGGATGTTTGCTGCTGCAATATTTGGAACTAGAGTTGTGGTTTTTGTTTTTAAAAAAGCACCAGTTTCTAGAGCTGAGAAAGACAGCTGAGACATAAAGCACCCCTACTTGTGGCACTCAGCGTTCAGAGAGCAAGGAGCGGAAGTTAGTAATGCATTTTGCTTGTCTAGGCACTAGCCCAGGCAATGCTACAGAAACGCTGTGCCTGGAGCCCATCAAACGTTTGTATTGTGGTGTAGAGGCTGATGGAGCACTCATGAAGCTGGTGTGCCGCAGCACTAGTGCCTGCTCATGATGTTCATTCTGTAGCAGTTGTTAGAAATCCTGTCCGGGTTTTAATTATATCCCGTTCCACTCTCAGATTACCATGGGGTTTATCACCTGAGGACTGAATTGAGCTGAGGAGCAGCAGCTGAGCCATGCAACTAGTAAAGTAAGTTATGTAAACTCTGCATGTTGGGAGCAAAGCTACAGGTCCAGTTTACTCAACATCTGCAAAGACCTGAAAGCAGTGCCAGCCCTGTCTCTGGGTTACACTTTAGCATTGGTAGTGCAGAGGGTCACCAGTTCTCTGGGAGCCCAGCAGCCCCTGTTGGCAGAGAGATTGACCGTTGTGCTGAGAACATTTTTGTTTGCATCAGCATTTTGTTATTCACAGATATGGTGAGGTTCTGCTTCAAAATAAAAAGGCCGTTTGGGATCATTGCTCGAGTGAGAGGGCACATCCCAGAGGCACTGCAGCATTTCATGCCCTATGCTTTTGCTCCTCTCTGCTCTTTATCAGATCCCATCTATGCCCAGTCTGAAGCTGAGGAATGTACCCCAGGTGTGTCCTGCATGGACCCTGATGGAAAATGAGGGTTCCTTAACTTATAGCTGTGTGTTATACTCCCTCCTATATTGCAGGACAAATTTCCTGGGACTCTGCAAAGTCCTGTGTGATGTCTCAGAAGTGTGTTTAAAGTCAGTGTGCCAATCTAGCTTATTTATATGAAGTCCTGGTTCTTCAGAACGGTTGTATCTTTGATGTAAAGTTCTGTTTAATCTGGATATTTTCTCTTTATTTGGACATTTATTTACAATCAAATGTGAAATTTCAACTGCTTTTGTCTTTGAAAAACTCTAATGTTTTCTCAGAACCAAACTCTCTGACAGCTCTGTCGTGCAGAGACGTACCACTACACGTGAGTTCATGACTAAATATGCACTGATTTTTATCCATGTCAGCTTCCAGTTGTGAAACCCACCATGTTACCACCTTGCCAACAAATAGTACTGTCAGGCACAATGCTCATGTGCTGCAACCTTGTTATCTTTGGGAAACCGGGTACTATGTGACCTTGTCCATAGGTGTGTTCAGGACCAGCACTGTAGTTGCTAGCACTAAAACAGCTCTTTCTTCAAGATGGCAGTGGCCAATTTAAAATCAACTGTGGTTGCAGTCAGTGGTGCCCAGCTGCAGTAACTGCTGGTCTCCTAAAAGATCAAGGTGTGTGTACTGGTGCTGCAGCTGCCTTTAATCAAATAATCAAAAGCTGACTAGTCTGTCCGGGTTGGGGTTGAAAGTCCAGAAGCAGCATGTGGGGCTTGATTTTACTTCTTGGTGAAAAAGACCCTAGGAATTCCTGTTGCATTAACTTTTTCTTTTTAAATCCAAATGGCAAAACAATTCAGCAAATGGAGTCTTTACAGCTGAGAGATTGAGTAACAAGGGAAAGAAAATGTCAATGCAAGTTAAAGCAAATTTAATAAAGCAAATAAAAGCAATATACTGACACTGAAATATAATCTTAACGCTCTGACTACAACTAACTGAAGCCAGGAAATTCTCAGCTAAGTGTTCCCTCAGCCCTCTTAAATCAACCCATTTTGCTTAGGCATTGTTGCACATAAGCGCCTTTATGAGATGGCCCCAAAACGCAGGATGGTAATATGAACACTAAGAAGATATTTATTTCGTCAGCTGTGTGCTTGGATATATCTGTGATGGATGTATTGGCCCTGATTCTGTGAGCCATTTAAAAATAAGCTAAACTTTAAGTACATGTTTACACAGTCTGCAGAACCAAGGTCACTGTGCTCCAGGAAAAATGCAATCCATAAGGTGGTACTGAAGACACAAATAGTATTACCAAAGTCCCTTTGTAGATCTCTAGTGCAGCTTTTCACAGATACTAGAGAATTGATCTTCACAAAATCTATAAGTTAAGGAACCCTCATTTTCCAGATGAGAGGCTGAAATATTGAGAGATTAAGCAGTTTACCAACAGTCTCAGAAGGTGACTGTGGCTGTGCAAAGACTTGAATTTACACTTTCAGTTTATTCAGCATTTTATCTGTGAAGTGTCCCCTTCATGCACTGAAAAATATTAAAAGATTCAAAACTGGGGGAATTTGATCTGCCTTGCAGGTGTATTGTAATTTGATGAATTTTTAATAGAGCTGAGAGGTGGTCTGCCATGCTGTGCTGTGATTAGGAATTGGTTTTGGGAACTGAGGGCCTCCAGAGCTAGAATTGCCTGGAGTACTGCTTGAAGCAGAGTTGGAGGGCTAGGTCAGCATGGAGCTGCTGCACAGACCTGCTCCGGGAGGCTTTCTTGATGGATGATGGGCATTCCATGTAGCATGGTTTCCTCAGTAGCAATTTTTTTCCCCTTAAAAAGAAAGTCAAAGAAACTGCTGGCCTTGAAAAAGGATATAAAGAGTGCAGCTTGCTTGCTTTTTTTCTTCTTCCCCTGGAAGTCTGGTCCTTAAAATACACTTGGAGATCTGATTCTTTACTCATATGAAGAGAGAAAACACAACTTTCTCAAGTTGTGATCCTGTGAAAGCCTTCAGAGTCTGCTTGAAGCTGTTAGATGTGCTTGTATTGGTGAAATTATATATGCAATGTTTGTGCTCAGTGCTTGTGCTTTTGTGCCAACTCTGAGCACATAGACAAACTGTATGGGAGCTGCAGAGTCACAGCCTGAGCCACTGATTGAGCACCTGGGGAAAGGACCCAGTGGGTGCTGGGAGCACAGGTGAAGGCAATTCACTGATGTGACCAGAAGGGGTGGAGCCTGGCTGCACCTCTCTTAGACCTCACTGAAGAGCTGACTGCCACGGGGGAAGGATCTCTGGTTGGAAATCCCTCCTGTGTGGAGTCTTCCTGCAAGCCGAGGTCTTCAGAGGTGGGTGGGCACCTTTCATTTTCTTTGTAACACTGTTCCATCTGCGCTGGTCCCTTTGCTGTTACCCTCCTGTATTGCCCTTCCACCACATTAATCTTTCTGATTGTAACACCAACTAAATCGAGCCTCTGGATACCATTTGCTGTTAAGTGAGGAAATGCTGATACCAGCCAAATCCGTGCCTCAGTTATTCCTCCTGCTTACGTTCAGGAAAGGCACCTACTGGTTTTCTTCTGGAGACATGGATGAAAAAATGTCTTGCTCAGTTTTGCTGTTCTGCTGGATTCCACATCCATTGACCCCCTTCTACCTCTCAAGTCCTCTCTGCTAGTCCTGACTGTCTCTGTATTGAAGAGCCTTCACAGTCCATATCCATCCTGCTTATCGCTCTTGCTCAGTATTGACAAATCTATGCCCACTTCTGACAAGACACAGCTAATTGATTCTGTACCAGCAAAGTTTTCCAGCAATCACTTTTGTGGTCTCTGGCCTCATGAGATCCCCATGGACTTGGTTGAAGGGTAGTGAGTTTTTTCATAAACATCAATTTTTGTAATATTTAAACCATGCTTCCCTCTCCTGCTTCCCCAATAAAAGTCTGCTGAAGACAGGGGAGTGGCGACACAGTCCTGTCCAAGCTTTTCATTGCTTTTACTTATTTTTCTGGTTTATGTGCTGCCATGTGCAGGTTATCTCTAAGTGATGTTTCTCATTACTGTGCTCAGGCCACCATTTTTGGGATTGGTGCTTTACAGTCTCCAGAATACTGGAATCGCAATGTATGCATAAGACTCCCAGAATTTGGAGTATTGAAGTCTTCTCTGCTTTTGTTCATTTGTAGAAAAAATCCAATGAGCTCATTATAACATAGCTTATCCCTGCTTTTAGTTCCTTGGTGGTGGTCTACACTGTTGTTGTCTGCTTTGGAAAGGCTCTCAGTGCTCCTTCTGCTGATTGTTAACACCTGGTGCTGTAACAGAGATCTGGTCACCATGCTGAAAGAGTTAGATGCAAAGGAGATATCAGTACCTTTCCAGGATACAAGGCAACCTTAGCTTGTTCCTGTAGTTTGAGGGTGACAAGGTGTTTTCTTTCCTAAAACCCCATTTATTCACTACAAAAATTCAAGGCTTGACTTCTCTTAGCTTTTACTTTTCTGTGACTTCAGGGCTGGGCCAAATCTCAGCGTAACCCAAGCTGTCAGTCATTTTAATAATTATTATTAACCCCCTGCTGATGCTTTTCCATATGAAAGCAGGGAATCTCTTTGGCACTCTTCTTACTTTTCTTTAAAAGATGGAAGGTGGAATGATGAAATTATTAATTAGCTGAGCTGGTGTTGGAAAGCTCAGTGTCAGATTTCCAGGTCAGTGTTTGATGAAGGAATGATAGGGAGAAGTGATGCATCGACATTGATTAAAGAGCAGTGATGAAGCAAGATAGAATTGACATTTAATTCTTCCCAGCTAAAGTAGTGTGACTGACAATAGTTAAAGGTGAATGGTCTTCTTTCTTGAATCAACAATGCAACCTGTAAAAACATCCATCAGAGCAATCTTGTCTTAATCACTAACATCTAATTAGCCCCAAATCACTGTAGCACACTGATTAAAATAAAAGATGCCTGCCACTCTTTCTATTTCGGGTGTATCTGAGAAGGGCAGAGGATATGAATTAACTGGCACTTAAAATTGGCTCATCCAGAGACCTTGCAGAGAGTTCTCGGCTTCTCTCTTTATTCTCTGCTGTTTATTCAGACAGAATTGTAATTCCACGTGAGTCCTTTTTTTTTTTTTTCCCCTGAATGCTGACCACAGACAGCTCTGGAAGTGCTGAGAACCCCCTAGAGGAGTGTGGGAACACTGCAAAAAGCCAAGCTACTGCCTTTCCTGCTGCTAATGATGGGCAACAATTAACATCTTGTGGGGCTAAATTTGTTACTGCTTTGTTTTTAAACGTAACGCATCCTTAAGCTTATTTAAAGCAGCAGTTCAGTGTTTCCTTGCTTCAGTCAGAGACCATCCCTGCCTTCTAGTAGGCAAAAGGCTTTTGATGATTGTTTCCCATCCCTTATCATTATTTCCCTTGGAAGAAACAAAGGAAATAGCAAATAGAAGTCCCCCAATAATTTATTTTCCACAAGGGTTCTGGAGTGCAGCTGATTACTCTGTGAATATGTTCGTATTGCAGAAAAGAGCATTCAGGTGATAACGCTTGAAGTAGCAGTTAATGCTCATTTTTGAGCTCTGATTGAGTTGAAA